AAGACCCAAAAGAAGAAAATAAAACAACTACAAGCACCAGCAGTCAAAAGTAACACTTTTTCACTCTCCACTCAAATTTCCCACTCTCTTTAGCTGTCAGCCAGCAAAAAATGCCAGACGTGAAGTGAAGGGAAATCTCCCCTATTGGACACAGATGGCAAAATTCAAAAACAGGCAAGGGCTATAACCCTCCCTTAAAATATCCAAAATGAATTTAAGACAAGGGTCAACATTTTCAGGGTACTACTTTGGCACAATTAACATTTGCAGATGTTTCTTATAAACATACCAACTCTTCCCTGTTTGAGTTCAGGGTTCAGAATCTTTATACACTGCTCAAAAAAATGAAAGGAACACTTTTTAATCAGAGTACAGCATCAAGTCAACTAAACTCCTGGGATGTTGATCTGGTCCTTTAAGTAGCAGAGGGGGTTGTTAATCAGTTTCAGCTGCTTTGGTGTTACTGAAATTAACTACAGGCGCACTAGATGGGCAACAATGAGACAACCTCCAAAACAGGAATGCTTTTACAGGTTGAGGCCACTGACATTTTTTTCCCTCCATATCTTTTGTGACAGATTTTCACTAGTTTTGCATTTGACTAGGGTCAGTGTCACTGGTGGTGCATGAGGCGATACCTGGACCCTACAGAGGTTGCACAGGCAGTCCAACTCCAGGATGGCACATCAATACATGCCATTGGCAGAAAGTTTGCTGTGTTTCCCAGCACAGTCTCAAAAGCCTGGAGGAGATTCCAGGAGACAGGCAGTTACTCTAGAAGAGATGGACAGGGCCGTAGAAGGTCCTTAACCCATCAGCAGGACTGGTATCTGCTCCTTTGTGCAAGGAGGAACAGGATGAGCACTGCCAGAGCCCTACAAAATGACCTCCAGCAGGCCACTGGTGTGAATGTCTCTGACCAAACAATCAGAAACAGACTTCATGAGGGTGGCCTGAGGGCCTGACATCCTCTAGGGGCCCTGTGCTCACTGCCCGGTACCATAGAGCTCGATTGGCATTTGCCATTGAACACCAGAATTGGCAGGTCCGCCACTGGCACCCTGCTTTTCACAGATGAGAGCAGGTTCACCCTGAGCACATGTGACAGACGTGAAAGGGTCTGGAGAAGCCGTGGAGAATGTTATGCTGCCTGTAACAATGTTCAGCATGACCGTTTTGGTGGTGGGTCAGTGATGGTCTGGGGAGGCATATCCATGGAGGGACACACAGACCTCTACAGGCTAGACAATGGCACCCTGACTGCTATTAGGTATTGGGATGAAATCCTTGGACCCATTGTCAGACCCTACTGCTGGTGCAGTGGGTCCTGGGTTCCTCCTGGTACATGACAATGCCCACCCTCATGTGGTGAGAGTATACAGGCAGTTCCTGAAGGATGAAGGAACTGATACCATTGAATGGCCCCCACACTCGCCTGACCTAAATCCAATAGTCTGGGATATCATGTTTCGGTCCATCCGACGCCACTAGGTTGCACCTCAGGCAAACTACTGAGTACCATTTTGAGTTTCTGGAATGAAGTTTCAGCAAAATGGACTAGCCTACTGCATAATTTTTTCACTTTGATTTTCGGGGTGTCTTTGAATTCAGTTCTCTGTAGGCTAATAATTTTAATTTCTTTCAGATAATGGGGAATCCTTATGTTCCGAACACATTATCCAGTCCATATCAGTATAGATATCCAGCATGAGATTTTTTTCCTCATTGGGATCTGATGTGTTTTCAAAGTGTTCCTTTAAATATTTTGTGCAGTGTTAGATATTCACATACTGCCCTAGTGGTTTAAAAACAGACAGTGCCCTTATAACATACAAGAATATATAAACACCCTAAATCCACTGAATACACAGCCCTCTGAGTAATAATTCACCAGACAAATACCATTGCTTTATAACCTGTTCATGCAATTTGCAAATGTCAACATCTGGTTTGTTGGATAAGCTGCCTTGTTGACTTTATATGGGAGAGCTACTTCACATGCACTTGGCTTCAGTGTAGATTGGGGAATATATGTTGCTTTTGTGTAGAATTGCTTCCTTCTTTTATTATTTTAAAGACTAAAAATAACATTCTATTTCATCATATTTTTAATTAATTTTTATTAAGTATTGCAGTCAGAGAAATTAACTTTACCCTCCCCCCCCCCCCCCCCTGCACTTTTTGCGCGCATAGGGGTGAGTGACTGTATTGAAATACAGATAACCTTTAGAGGGAATATTTACAGCATGCATGTAAAATAAGCACTTTATAATAAAAATACTCTAATGGCACCTTTTGATCTATGCGTGTGCATAGATGTGTGTTTTTTGTAGCAGGGTGAATAAAAATCGATGCTTTTTTTTTTTTTTAATTAAAAAATCTGACTTTTTTATTTAAATCAGATTGTTTTTATTTTTATCAAATTTATTGTAATAAAATTCTTTTGGAGTAAAAATCTATCTATCTAGTTTTCTATTGAACCTCAGACCCATCTCCCTGCTCCCATTTACATCCAAACTCCTTGAACGCCTAGTCTACACCCGCCTAAGCTCTCACCTCAACGACAACAACCTCTTCGACCCCCTACAGTCCGGCTTCCGTCCCCTACACTCCATTGAAACTGCCTTACTGAAACTCTCCAACGACCTGCTAACCGCCAAAGCTAATGGCCACTATTCAATGCTCCTACTCCTTGACCTCTCTGCGGCCTTCGACACAGTCGACCACCCCCTCCACCTCAAAAACTACACTCCCTCGGACTCTCATCCTAATGCTACCACCTCCACCTCACTCCCCCTCTCTGTTGGGGTCCCTCAAGGCTCCGTCCTCAGGCCCCTTCTCTTCTCCATCTACACCTCCTCCCTTGGCCAACTCATACACTCTCACGGCTTCAACTACCACCTATATGTCGACGACACACAAATCTATCTCTCAACCCCCCACCTCACCCCCTCAGTCTCTGCCCGAATCACACACCTACTGAGGGACATATCTGACTGGATGTCACTCCACTTCCTTAAACTGAACCTCTCCAAGACCGAGTTTCTGGTCTTCCCCCCAGCCCGGACACCACCCCCCATTGACTTCTCCATCATGTCCAACAACGCCACCATCAAACCCGCCCCGCAGGCCAGAGTACTTGGTGTCATTCTGGACTCCAACCTATCCTTCCAGCCCCAAGTCCAATCTTTAACAAGCTTGTGCAGACTCCACCTCCGCAACATCGCCAAAATCCGCACGTTCCTAACCCCAGAAACCACTAAACAGCTCATCCACTTCCTCATCATATCACGACTCGATTACTGCAACTCCCTCCTTATTGGCCTGCCTCGCCGCTGGCTATCCCAGCTTCAGTCGATCCTGAATAAGGCTGCCAGACTCATTCACCTTTCCAACCGCTCCATCTCCGCCACCCCCCTCTGCCAATCCCTCCACTGGCTTCCGATTGCGCCATGGATCAAATTCAAAACCCTAACACTAACGTACAAAGCTGTCCACCATACTGCCCCGAACTACATCACTGACCTAATATCCAAGTACGACCCAGCACGCACACTCTGCTCCTCACAAGACCTCCTTCTCTCTAGTTCCCTGGTCTCCTCCTCCCATGCCCGCCTCCAGGACTTCTCCAGGGTGTCACCCATCCTCTGGAACTCCCTGCCCCAACCCAACAGATTATCACCTACTCTCCTCTCCTTTAGGCGCACCCTGAAAACCCATCTCTTCAGGGAAGCCTACCCCACCCCCTGCTAACTTGCCGACCTCCTCCACTCTTCCTACCACTCCATCCCCCACAGCTATCTCCTCCTGTGCCACTATCCCCTCCCTCCTAGATTGTAAGCTCGAAAGAGCAGGGCCCTCAATCCCCTCATGTTTTGCATTGTATTGTTATTGTTCTGTCACATGTTCTGTCCCCCTTTGTAATGTACAGCGCTGAGCGAACTATTGGCGCTTTATAAATACTGTATAATAATAATAATAATTGAAGATACATTAATAATTTAGTTTATTCAGCATAAAATGGAGCTTATTTATGTAGCATGAGGCTGTATATTCTGCAATATTTCCATTTTTGGTAAACTCATTCAATGAATCCAAGCTCTGCAAGCTGAGATAACATGCACTGCATTGATGCATTCACACACTTTTACAGTAACCATGAGAAAAAACATGAAATAAAAGAATTTGAGTAGTTCTCCAGCTATGTGTGCTTAACTTAAAATCGGTTCTGATATCGCTGTTTCACTAACCTGACAGCTTATTATTCTAAACAGGAAACCTTCATTTGGTTTGAAAATATTAAAGATTGCAACTACCAGCAAGAATGAGTCGGATTCCTTACATTTAAAGAGCATCATAGATCCATCATAGCAGTGGCTGTTAGCGGGAACCACTCACCTGCTTCTGCCACGTCCCTCACCTTGTGTCACTGCCGAATCACCAGCCATCCCATTAAAGTGAATGGGACTGTCGGTGAGTCAACATCGGGTCAGGTCAGGAGGAGCTCCTATGGGACAGAGATGACAGTTACTCTTTAAAAATTATGATTTAAATCGAGCCTTTTCACTAGTGATTTAAATCATGATTTAAATCAACTTGATTTAAATCAAATCCATACTGATTTGTGGTGTTAGGAAGGGGTGTTTTTTGCTTTAACATGCATTTGGGCAGCACAGTGGTTAAATGGTTAGCACTTCCACCTGGCAGTACTAGGGTCATTGGTTCGAATCCCAACCACGGCACCACCTGCCTGGAGTTTGCATGTTCTCCCTGTGCCTGCGTGGATTTCCTCCCACACTCCAAAAACATGCTGGTAGGTTAACTGGCTCCTGTCTAAATTAGCCCTAGTATGTGTATGTATGAATGTAAGTTAGAGACCTTACATTGTACACCCCTTGAGGGTTAGGGACTGATGTGAACGCACAATATATATATGTAAAGTGCTTCTTAAATTGACAGCACTATATAAGTACCTGAAATATGTTTTTTGTTCATTATAGGCTGGCAGCCACGTTACTTTGTATTGGATAGGGGCATTTTGTCTTACTATGACTCCCAGGATGATGTTGGAAAAGGAACTAAAGGAAGCATTAAAATGGCTGTGTGTGAAATCCGAGGTACATTTTTCATTTTTATTATTATCGATTTGTATATTGCTATAGTATTCGCATCTTCTGTATAGTAGTTCATGTGATGCTATATTGACTGAGGAAGGAACCTGACTGGTCCTGAACACTTGCATCTTTTATAACTTTAATTAGAGAAGAATGGGCATCAGTTGAGCCCCAAATTTTCCACATTAATTGATGGGTAACATGATACAAGATTCTACACTTTGAACATAGTAGTAACGTTAAGTCATACAGGAACTATAACTAAAACAATAACATTTTGACGTAGTTTACATGAAATGTGGAATCTTGACCAGAAAATATTACTTTTACCAATGTACAAGATCTGTCAGCATTAGATAAAAAAATCATAGCAATGGGAGACGTTTGAGCTATCCTAGAGATAGAGAATGGTGTCAGGGTCAGTAATATATTCCTCAATCTAAAATATTCATTTTAGGTAAATTTCCAAACCTTTGAGGATTTTTGCATGCCGTAGAGCACCAAGGAAGTAAAATGATTGCAAGGATTTCTGCAAACTTTATTGCACAGCCTTAGCTTCCTCTGTTTTAGAGAGAGTAACCTCCCTGGCGGTATTCCCGAGTGTAGCTCGGGGTAAAGTTTCAGTACCAAAAGCAGTAACCCTGAGCTACACTCAGACTTACCATGAGGCGCTGCTCCGGGATCTCTTCTTCACTTACCTTGTCCTGCGCTCCCACGATGTCCCTCCTGTAGTGTCCCCTGTAATGTCCTCTGGCGAATGTCGGCATCTGTCTTCTGGGTTCCGTCCCCTGCGACGTCGGGACATACGGGGGACGGAACGGCGGGAAATTTGAAAATGACAAAAAGTTACATTCACTAAATTCACTAAAATAACATAGTAAAACATTACTGTATCAAAGCATTTCACATACATTTTGTCCCGAGTGCTTTTTCCTGTGCCCTGCCTGCATATTTACTGTTCTTTCTGCCTGGAAAAGACCAGATAGAGAACAGCGATAGTAAATTATAACTACTTGCAGAATTGAGCGATAATGATTTGTGGGGAAATTCGTCATCAGACACTGAAAACAATTTTGCGACTTTGCTCAGTGATGTGCGAACTTGGTGCTATATTTCAAATTTCAGTGTTTTTGGTTTGATTATATTATTGAATTAAATTTATTATTATTATATTATTATTTTTTATGATTATTTATTAAATTATAATTAATGATTTCGTGTTTCACTTTTTAACATACCCGGGATGTTTACTAGACTCTTGTTCGGACAGATTTCAGTGAGTTATTCCTAAAAATTACAGGCCTACAATAAACAAAATACATATTTCCATGCAAAAAAATGTACCGCTTTGAGCACAGAAATATGGACATAATCAGACCGCTAGGGAGGTTAATGTAGATTTGCAAGCATTCATTGAATATGCTTTAATAAAAAAAAAAAGCTGCAGCCTCTGCATCTAAATCCTGAAATGTATCTATCAAAGATTAATCTCCTGTGGAAGGATATGGCTTTAATTTATTGTCAAAGTTCTGTGCAGACTTCTAGAAAAAGCTGTTAACTAACTTTGCTTGAAGGGTATAGGAATTCTGTGTTTGGTCATTTTAGCAAATCTCAGCAACTGCAGATTAAAATGCAAAGGAAGTTAAATAGCAGTGAATTTTAAAATGTGTTGTGTGGCAGCTATACATGTCATATCAGTTTTTGCAAAGGGAGAGTCTTACTTTCAAATATTCAGTAAATCAGGGCAAAAGCTGCCATGGATACTCATTTCTTCTTGGAAAAAAATCCCACATTTGTAATTCAAATGCCAGAGCTTGTCCTTTGACAGTTTGTTGGCAGGGGTGGGTATTGACACCAGGATGGGTGGAGCTTCAGGGCAGGTTCATGGCACAAGAATACGCTCTAGATCCATCCCGGATGCATTTCTGCTTAGGTGATTTTGATGAGTTCCGGTACATTTTTGTTGCATTTTGATGCTTTTCCAAATGCTTTTTTTCTTCTTTTTTTCCTTTTTTTTGCACTGTACTGGGGTCTAGTGCATTCCTAATGCATTCCAGTGCGTTTTGATGCGTTTTTACCATATTCCAGTTTAGTCCAGTTCAGCAAAAATGCAACATGTTCTACTTTTTTTCTCTGGTACTGGAATACCCTAGAATTGATCACACTGGTGTAAACTATGCCACTGGAAACCATATAACCTATTTTCCATGCATTTTTGCAGAAAAAAAAAAAACACATTGGACTGCTTGTAGTGTAAACTTAAGGTAAAAGCAAAAAATATTCTGAACTGTGCCATGGATACCTCCAAATTGATAATCACAGTACAGCTGCTATCTCAATGATGTTAATACTACCTCAGAGTAAATAAAATATTTAGACAGCGCTATCACCTATAAATATACAATAAATAATTCATCAATAGTATAAATACATTCATAATAAAAAATTACAAGAAGACAATTTCATAACAAGTAAAGTGTTCAAGTGCTATATACAGTATATATATACTGCATAAAAATAATAAAGTCAATTTCACTCAAAGTGTCCAGTGCTCCAAATTCTGTTGTTAAAAAATCCCCAAAAACGTATGCAGCAATATCTTCTATTATCTCAATATTATAAAGTGTCCAGTGCAAGAAAAAACATTTTCTTAAATAAGGGGAAAAGTGCTTCTATAGTGTAAAACCATACTAGTCTTTATTAAAAACATCACACCAAACACTTACATTAAATAGTGCCATAACTGACACTAGTATAGAACACCCCTTGAAGACCTTGGGGGGCGAAACGTGTAGGGCGGAGCTTTGGACATGACCATCATTTATGCCAGGTTCAGGCCGGAAGTGCAGCTGAAGCTGATCTGGTTAATGAGATATCACATCCTATACTAGTGTCGGTTATAGTACTATTTAATGTAAGTGTTTGGTGCTATGTTTTTAATAAGATTAGTATGGTTTTACACTATGGAAGCTCTCTTCCTTCTTCTGTCTGGTTGGGTCTCGTGATGCACTGAGGGAGAGTGTTGGGTTGATGCTGCTGCTATGCTCTTCAGTAGGCTGCAGTGATTCCAAGTTCTGGTGATCCCAGGAGCCTAAAACTGACAGAATTTAAAGCTCCATACACTGTCTAGGCCCAGGATTCAATATGAATCCACAGGGATTGCTATAAAGCTGACACCACATGGTGCCTGCACCTCATCACTGTTGTTTCCTTGGGAAAGTTTTAGGCCCGGTAACTATAACTAACCCATAAAGCTTAGATGTGACTTCTACATTGTGGTCAGACACATTTAGACTTGTGATTTCAAGCACATACCCAACAGCTCCAGATATGTTCCTACCCTAAGTAAGGGATCTAATGAGGTTCTCAATAGGTAGTGACATTATAGGCTGGAAGTAACTTTTTGACAGATTGAAGCAGAAGGAGAGTTGTATGAAATATGCTTACTTTAAAATTGTATGTATGGTCCTTCACCCTTGTCCTGTGTTATCTGACTAAAGCAGCTCTTACCATCCCTTACAGTGCACCAGGCTGACAGCTGCCGAATGGATCTCTTTATACCGAGAGAGCAGTGCTTCTACTTACGTGCGGAGAGTGCAGCTGAAAGGCAAAGATGGCTGGTGGCCCTGGGTTCTTCCAAAGCCTGTCTTGGAGATATCACCACCCATCAAGCAAAAGGCATGTAAGGACATCTGTTCAGGATAGAATGAAAAAAATGATGATTACTTATGTGTACTCTGATTCAAGACACAATAAATAAAGACTAAATGCCTATGAAATTGCCCCCCTTTGACCCACTGATACCTTTCTGGAGATACCCCACCACTCCTCCTTCTGCCACAGGCATCACCAAAAAAACCTGGTGTTGGCTGACATCATCCTCACTGTCACATGCTATTGGTGGCAAGACCTGAGCACTGTCACATTGGAGGAGGTCACATGCTCTAATCCCCAGAAGCAGCAAGTGTTTTTGCAGGAGTGGTGTGGGAGGTAAGTTTCAGCGGGTCAAGTTGTTTTTTTTACAAACACTGTCAGCTTGTCCTGATTGGGCAAAGTTACAGTGTTTACTGTCATGTGGTCCACCTCGGTGTCCATCCAGACTCCAATCCTAAATTTACCTGTTAAGGTGACAAAAAATATGTTGTATCTTTTAATACATGTAACTATATTTTATTATGTTTTAAACTGTAAATTGTGAAGCAACCAACACTTTTTAAGGTAGACAAGTAGCCTGTGATGCTGTGCTGGCAATTATTTGTATATGACACACTTAAGACATTTTGGCATAGAGCAAGCTGTAACACTACTTGTCCCAGAGAACAAGAGGACCAGTCAAGTTATTGCATGGATTGGGGACCTAGGATTTAAGAAGAATGCAACCCTGTGAGAAGACCAGTCAATAGTTAGAGCGCCTAATTTGTATGGTAGCACATGGGAAAGTTTGCTGGCACTGGAAGCCCAAAGGCAGAGGATCAACTTGACAGAAGGCTATCATTTTCAGTAGGAAAGGATGGCAGTGGCAGCCCGCACATTTATTTTATGACAGGTTTGCTTTAACCGAAGGCCCATTCTCTATATCTGCACATTGCTTTGGAGTCTTAATTCACCACTGGCTTAGGCTATTCTTTCATATGTTAAACTATTATAAAAGTGAGAGCATAGTTGCCCCCCATGCCACATAGTAATACTTAGACTAGAACTAAATGGGTGAGTTTAATCTCTTGCTAATGAGTGAAAGTAAGTAAACAAACTAATATTAAGACTGAACTTCAGCCCAGCAATTATTCAGGTTCCTCTCTTGTACTGAATTTGCTTACTCTGATTTTACTGCACACTGAGTTGATTTTACTGCATGCTGTGAGCTTCTCAGTGTGCATTAGAAACTGAAGCAAGTCAGCCAGACTGGAAAATGTCCACATCATCTATCTCTTCCTCCTCCAACCTTACTATCCTTAGCCTGAAAAAAGAACCCTAACCTCAAAAGCTAATGGGGCTTTAAAGGTACCATACCCTACCAATACAAATGAAGTGAAAACAGTAAATAAAAAAGAAACCCTTTTTATTAGGTTATTTTTCCACCCATCGGTGGAAAAAGTTAGTCAGACATGGACACAAAAAGGCATATGATTAAAATCAACAAAGGGTGGCTATAGTAGTCGATGGCCGCTGCCCAAGACGTAAAAAACGTTACAGGCATTGGCAATGGCAAATTACAACCACTAACTTAGAGCAAGGTAGACTCAACTGTACAAATAGTATATGAAATGGAAATGGTTATCAGTGTAAATATATACATATATAGACAGAAAACACCCAACCATATGACATAAAAGGTGTTGATGAAACTGGTAATACAGTAGCCACTTGAAACCATGAGAAATGCTTTGAATTATAGATTCCATCGCGTTTTCGTGGGATAAAACCCACTTCTTCAGGGAAAAAGGGAAAAACATGAATAAAACATGAATGATTCAAAGAAAAGGAAAACAAAAACAAACCAAAAACATATAATCAATAAATGATATTGAACAAGTGCATATACAGTATATACAACAAAACAAAATATAAACAAACAAAACAGCAGCAATTACCAGTCGATGATATCAGCACACTCTGAGATAGCTCCTGCTAGATATAGATCAATGGTATCTGGGTGAACAGGAAGAAGCCTCCAATGACCACAAGGAAGGGTCATCAATCAAAACAGGGTTCAAATATATCTGAAGACTTGTGGAAACCAAGTCAACATTCTGGGGGATCACACAATATAATTAAATTAAAAAAGAGAGAAAAAAATATAAAAACTATAACAAGATGATAACAATCACCCCCCCCCCCCCCCCCCCACACACACACACACAATCAGCCCAATACCTACTCCCCAAAATTGGTCAAGAAGAATTTAAATCTAAGAGGTGGACAAAAACAAGCGGGGGGGGAGAGAGAAAAAAAAAAAAAAAGTTTTTTTTATATGAACAAAAAGATATATTGTAAATGAGATCCCCTGAGTAATAGGTAAACAATCACAAGCAGAAGTATAAAAGTCATAATCCATCCAGATACATACAATTCAGAACAAGAATACAATGGCCAAAGTGAGAGGAAATCCCTCAAACCAGAACTAATGCCCTATTTATCACTGCTCTGATGTCAACCCAAAATTTGGGATTTTCTTCTGCTTTAAACATTCGATGATAATGGTAAACAGGACAAATAGAGAGGATGAATCTCCCTAAAGAGGGGCACAAACAGTATAAAAAATTTACAGGTGTTCTAATCCCTCTCCAATTTGCCCAAAACTAGAAAAAAAAAAAAAAAAGTTTGTCCTTAGTTATACTCTAACTTCCTTAAGGAGCTAGCCATGATTTACCTGCGTTACATATATAAGTACAGAGACAGAGTGATGACATCACTGTGTCTAAAATAAAGAATGTAATGACAGAAGGGTTTTATTAAAAAAATTAATTAGCATGTTTTTGGAATAACGGATGAAATGAGGAATGAGAACAACAAAATATAAGCATATTTAAAAAAAAATCTTTAATGTTTCAGAGTTGATTCCCACATGTGCGCTGCGGATTGAAGCTCAGGTTTCATGTCAGGTTTCAGCAGATCATGTTAGTTTACATCAGGTTCAGGTCAGGATTATGTTAGGATTTTATCCTGTTCACATATGTGCAGTTTAGAAATGGTTCCCATAGAAGTCAGTAGCCCATAATCTGCACCTGAACCAGACCGCACTGCTCAGAAATCATACATGACTCTTTTTCAAATCGCACTGAATCTGCACTGCCAATGCACTGGACATATGTGAACAGGCACCATAGGAAACAATGTTATTTCACATGTCATGCAGATTGGATGCGGTTCAGACCGCATGCAGATTGGATGCAGTTCAGACCGCATCCAATCTGCATATATGGGAACCGGCACTTAAATATGTAAGTCCATGACACCAATAAAAAACATATACCGTTTGGGGTCTGCCAACCACAATTTAGTTGAAAAAAACTACATTTCTCAATAATGGCTGTTAGTTGCACTTGCAGAAAGCATGTGTTTAATGTGATTTGCTAAAGCAGAAATGTCCTGCATAACCGCATCATCCCCTAAATTATATTTCACATTTGAATACATGTCGGCAGACTAAATGATCCACTTTTTGGTTTATCTTTTGGGATCTGATCATGAATGAAATCCTTGTGACTGAGATCCCTGCTGTAACAGTTTATACAGTAATTAGTGTCTAGCTGTTTTTGGAACATTGCTTAAGTTTACATTAAAGGGTAGTGGGGAGAGTAAAGCTGGTCATAGATGGCCAATGGAAAAAAAAATGTGTTCTCCCATCCATACAATCAAGGAGGATCCTTCCTGCTGCACTGTTGTATTCAAACAACGGGGACTCTGCTCCCTTCAGAATACACTGATCAGCACTGCAGCCGGTTGGCTACAGGCACTGATTGAATGAGAATTTTCCTAAATTACTGTTCAAGAGAAGCCAATCATTAGATCAACTTTTCTCAAACAGGAATGGCCATAGACGGATCATAATTCAGCTGGGTCCTGCTATGTCCAGCTCAACAGAGGAGAGAAGGGAGTCCCCTTAGTCATCCCACCAATAATCACATATCACTAAACTAACAACATTGGTTGGACTGATGCTTTAACTGACATTAATGCAAATTAATTTTGCTGTCTGTGTCCTTTCAGGGAAATTTCCCTTTACTTCTTGTCTTGAGACACAGCAGGAAGTAAGAGGATATCTATTAAAAGTGAGGGGATAAATTCTTTAAGACAGTTGTCACCGAGTTACCCTTTTAGATGATCTCCCCTTACCTTGTGGTTCTATAACTCAAAAAAATTTGTATTATCCATAATTTTCTGTACCAAAAACAATGGTCATCAGGTCCAAAAGAGAGCCTAAACCTCTCCACTAGGGAAATCATAGCAATGAAATCTGACATGTGTTCTAACACTTCCTTAGCATATCCCAGCAGCCAATAAAAAAAAGGTGGACAGAAATATGTCTGTGCATCCACATGACAATCAGTCAATCCTCTTTTCATTAACCTGCATTAAAAAAAGTTTTCATTTAAAACTGAAAATGAAGCAATGTAATGCTTACAGTGAGGATAGCCAACCTCCTGAGATGTTCAGTGTTTCATCCAGACATAGCTGTACTGTATCTGAGTTCTATGTACTCCCTTTTGTCTGTAATCTGGTGTGCCCTGAACACTGCCACTGGTGATCTTGCTTGCTACCTTTCACTTACAAAAAGCCTCATATGAAAATCATTAGTAATATTATATACCTTAGATTGTACACCCCTTGAGGGTTAGGGACTGATGTGAATGTACTATATATATATATATATATATATATATATATATATATATATATATATGTAAAGCGCTGTGTAAATTGACAGCACTATATAAGTACCTGAAATAAATAAATAAATATGTTCCTATCAGCTTCCAATATGTGTCAAACCTACCCTGAAAGTTTAGATGTGACAGAAGCAGGGAGAAAAGAAATGACATAACGCAGACTTCATCAAATAGGTCCTACGAACCTTGTCAGGTGGAGTACATAGAACGTAGATTCAGGTGAAGGGTACCCCTTCTAATGTTAAGCCTGGCTGCAGTGTGTTCAAATGCATGAATAGCACACAGACTGGATTCACTTGTTGCCTGGAATTGTTTTTGCTGTTATCTGATTAGTTGCAAGGTGCAGTACAGACCAATTAGAGATCAGTTCTTGTCAGTGCATTGAAGCCAGACAACCGGTAAAATATTTCTGATTGGTTGCTGTTTGGTACTAACTGTGATTACAATTGTACAATATTAATCAATCTTTAAGAAGACCTGAATGTAGTATGTACATCCGTACGTACACTTTTTTTTTTAATCTGTACAAGAAGACATATACTTGGCTGACTTAAAGTGTTACTAAAACCCACAACAGTAAAATCAGTCTGTATATGCATTAAATCACTCTTGATATACTCACTGTGAAACCTAAGGGGTTAATCCTCTGCATTGTGTAAAAAGGCTGTTTGATCCTAACTTCTCTGTTCCTCCCCTTCTTCCAGTGTCTCTCTCTTTTCTCTTGATAAGACATATGTGGGGACACTCTGTACATGCTCAGTTTGGTGTGTATTGCTTGAGAGTTTTTTTTTTTTTTTTGGGAGAGTGCATGTGATCAGCACAGGGCCAATCAGGCCAATCAGGTTACGGGTTCTGCATCCTCCTAGAGCAGAAAGAAAACCCCTCCTACAAGCTTTAACCTGTGCTCTGCTGAACACTGGTAGAAGTCACAAGACTGCTATATACTGCTGATGAGAAAAGGTATTAAGCACTTTATATTTACTAAAATAATTGCATTTCCATGTTCTGTGTACTATGGGAGACCAGATTGAGTGAATGCAGGGCCCTGGGCAGGGCCGCTGTTAGAAACCACGCAACCCCATACAGCCAACTTGCCAGGGCTCCCCACCCCCAGAAAAACAGTGTACTATGAATGAACACAGTGAGTGATTGGTACCAGTTACTCATTGTGTTCATTCAGGAAAGGAAGGGGCTGGTAAATGTGACTTATTTACTGCTCCCTTTCTCCACTCTCCATCCTGAAGGATCTTATTATGTGCTTGCAGCTGCTGGTGGGACGGAGAGGAGAGAAGTCGGCAGCACTGCGGGGGTGGATGCACACAGGGGAAACTGGCAGGGTGAAACGTATGGTGCATAGATAGGGTGATGGGTGCAGCGGGGGGGGGGGGGACAATTACTGGAACCAATCCCCTATATGGCTCTCTCTCTGCAGCAGCTGAAAGCAAGCAGAAGGGAGAGGAGAAGAAGCCAGCCTTCAGCTGCCGCAGGCAGAGCCATACAGGGGATTGGTTCCAGTAATTGCCCCTTCCGCCATCCTGATCACCTTTCCTGCCCCCATCCGATTCACCCAGCTGCCTGTGCCCCCTCCTGGCCTGGGCCCTGTACAAGAGGACTGGTGGTACCCCCTTATCCTCAGCCCTGGTCTTGGGTTTAGTATCACTTTAACAGAGCAGTTTTATTAAGAGTAATGTTTTAGTAAAGTGTATGCTGTATTTTCTGTATTTTCTCTACATGGACTGTTAAACAACTTTGATCACTCCATGTTACAGTGATGTATTTTTATGTACCTGCTAATGAAAATGTACCTTCTCTAGAAATGATTTCAGACAGTGAATCCCTGGAACGGAAACTGTCAGAGCTTCGGCTGTTCTGTGATCTTCTTATGGAACAAGTGATGGAAGTAAAAGGAGCAGTGGATGCAGATGATCCTGGAGAACCTCCCAACAAGGAGGTAAAGTAACTATAACAATCCAAAAACATTGCACACAAGGCATATCCAAGGACATAGTGGCTAGATCCCTCTTGCATGATGCAAAAGTTAATTGAGTGTCTCAGTAGATTTGTATTGTGGATTAATCAAATCTACATGTTTCACCACCATAGTTTATCAGGTAGGGCAGTCCAAACGAAACCATTCAATCTGAAAATTTAAAGTGGACCTGAATTTAAAAAGATTAAGATTTGCTCTTATAGGAAACATCTAGAAATATTAATTGTACCCTAAAGAATGTAACCTCAGTCAGGAATTCCTCCTGAAAGATAGCATAACTCTTATGTTGTCCACTTCTAACAGCTATACAGTGTATCTGCAGTGTGAGATCACCTAAGGTACTGCTCCTTCTTTTGATTGAGATTTGGTGATGTCACTACGGTGCTGCTCACTGTTCTCCTTGCTGGAGAGAAAGCTCTCCCTTAGGATCTACAAACAAGCATCTTCCTGCTTCTGCTTCATCAGTTTTGTGGATCTGTGCTTTCTGAACCTCTGCTTCTCGAGCATTCCTTCACCAGTCATCATATCACCAGCCATTAGGGGGGCAGCCCTGACATAAGGAAGCAAATCCTTCTCCTATGCTGAGATGACTACCTCCACATGAAGAATAAGAGCAGAACAAGGCAGTAATGGAATTCTTGCAACAGCCAGAGTGAAGCTGTGGAATTCTGTGCCAGACACGTACATTTTCACAGAAACTAATTCAAAACTTTGTATTTTGTGAACCTTATTAGTGTGCTAATCAGAGACAATGGCAGGTAGACATTAGCAAACAGTCCAACCGATCTTGTTTTCCTTTGACCATAGAACATTGTTATCCAATGACTAGTCTTGTTTCTTGGCTGGGAGAAAATCAATCCCATAATATTAACCCCCTTCACATGAGGATGGCATAAAATGACCCAGAGTGATTGTAAATAATCTCTAGACAGTTTGTTCACTCCCTGATCCTCCTGAAACTGCGGTCAGTTTTTAAGGTTTTTAAGATTGATTTATTACAGGTAGCTGTGCCATCAAATGTTTTCTAGGATTTTTTTTTTAATGAGATCTCTTCTGAATGCTGTTTGCGCTGTAGATGGGTACTCATAGTTTCTGCTGGTGTAGAGGATTATAGTTCAGTTACGTACCAAATTGGTTGATATAGCCAGGAAACGCATGTTCACAATGAGTACGAAGAGGTCTGGTCAAATAAAAGTGGTGAAAGTAGAGTACTTTCTATGAGAGGCTATACCTCTAACATGCCTTCCCTTGGTTGGACATTGACTCCATACTGCAGTCAGATTTTATAAAAATTATATTTCAGGTCTATAAATGAACACATGAATAACTTTGATAGGTGTCAGAGTCACTGCACAGTTCTGTCTGTGTGTGGTGTAAAATTGTCTAGATAGTTACCTCCTACTTCACCAGTCAAAGTTACTGCAGCGAACTTGTGCTTTTTAGACTACATTTGTGTCACAGAACAGGTTTTGCATGTTGACTGACCTCTGTACATTATATGTAATTTAATCACTTAACATGGCTAGTAGATTTGAGGAGAAAGATGGAGCTCTTAACTATTCATTGGAGGCTACATTGATATTTGTCTAGTGTAACAGAAGTAACTTTAAATCCATTGCATTGTATTGTGTAGCTTGTTAACCACTTCCCATCCAGCCGTTGTATATAAACAGCCAGACGATGGCAGTGCAGGGGCTGGTGGCCGTTTTATAAACGGCCTCCCCGCCCCCTGCTTGTGCGCGCTCCCTGGGAGGACGCAGCACCGTGATCCGGTGCCCGCTTTGTCCTCCGAACACAGTGGAACACTGATCGTCGTACGGGATCTCTGTGCGAGGTCCCGATCATATGATCACTGATTGGCCAATCAGTGATCACATGCAGAGTAGTAAGCAAGATGTCACTTCTGACATCATTGCTTACTACGTGTGAAATCTGTAAGGCTATTCACAACAGCCTTGTACCATGTGACAAGCTGTGACCAATCACAGCTCACACAGTATTTCTCAATGGCTTCAAAAATGCAGCCAGAGAGAAGGAGAAATGATTGCTTTTACAGCCTTTATGGGTGTAAAAGCAATCAGTAAAAAAAAAAATCTTCATCACTCCCCACAAGTAGTACAGTGTCACCATGGTGACACTGTACTGCTAGGGTGACAGTATGTTAAAAAAAAAAAAAACATAAATAATAATATACAAAAATAAAATAAAAATGTAAAAAAATTGTTTTTAAAATGATAATTTTTGGTTATAAACTAATTTGGGTTTTTTTTTTTTATAAAAAGATAACTGAATACATTTTGACCAAGACTTATGATTAAATATTATTTATTTGCAAAATGTTATAAGAAAAACACCTTTTTTCAAAAATTTTGGACTTTTTTATTTATATAGCAAAAAAATAAACATCCCAGTGGTGAATAAATACCACCAAAATAAATCTTTATCTGTCTCAAAAAAATGCTAAAATATTCATATGGGTACAGTGTTGCATGTCCGCGCAATTGCCATTCAAAGTGTGATAGCGCTGAAATCTGAAAATTGGTCTAGACAGGAAGGGGGTAAAAGTGTCCAGACTTGAAGTGGTTAAAGATCACTGCATGTGTGTAAATTATTTTATATTTAGCCCTGGTTCACACTGATGCGAATTGTCATGTGATTGGACCATTCAAATCGCATGACAAATTGCATCCAATGATTGGCAATGGAACCGTTCTAATCGGTGCGACTCAGAATTGCACCGATTATCAAAGTGATTCCTGCACTGCTTTTGCCGATTTGGGGTGCGACTTGCATAGACATCTGTGCATGAATTGTGCATGACTTCAAGTGAAGTTGCAGAATTTCAAAGTTGGATCCAGTGTGAATCAGGGCTAACAGTACATTTCTTTTTGCAGATTAGATTAGAAGGCTATTGCTTCCAATTCCACAAAATATTGCTACCTTGTGACGGAACTTTGAATGAACATTGCATGTATCTGTATATGTTACATAAGTACGTTTTGCTGGCTATATTATCAGTGTATGCATGGGCTTCTAGTTCATCATTAAATAGTTAGTTTACTGTTAACTGAAATGAGTATAGCAAATGGATAAATTACCTACCTGCTGCCTCTTACTTGGGGGCTCTGATGACAATATTTTTGAACCCCAATTTCTAGGTCTGAAGCTATTAGATGGGAGTTCCACTCTTTTTCTTCCTGTTGAATCTTTACATATATTTCTAATTACAGATAATTCAGCATTGAGGGATTGAGACTCCATAATAGGGAGTGGTTTACGGAAGTCGGATTCAGCCCAGCACTAGCCACTTGTAGCTAAAATATCAGTTTTAGGTGCACTGATCAATTAAAGCTGAAATCAAGCACACCATTTAGTCCAATGATGTATCCATTATAAAGAATGATAAATGTAATTTTATGTTCAACTAGCATGGATGTGTCATTATGTGCATTTAATGTAATTCCAGGCAGCACTCTTAAGTCAGACAGGCTCTCATGCAGTACGCAGTGCTATCAGTCTAACACTAGAAACATGCTTACAGGATGTAAGACCACAGGGATGTTCTTATCTGTGTGCTGCTACTCCTCTTTGTCCATGTAGCCGTTATGGGGGAAGGGGTGAATAACATGAGGTCACGGACCTGGCTGTGCTGTCTGCTAAATGTGTATGGATAGCTGAAAAAAATAAGAAATCCTTTAGGCAACTAAAGCAATTCACATAAATTGTGTTTTAAGCAGTCTGTCTGTAGCTTGCTTTAAATGACCATGAGAATGTGTTTTTTGTACTGTCCTCCCCACCCCCTCACGCTGCAGGGGTTAAATGTTTGTTAAGTCAAGTGGATAAGGAATAAAGTGTAATACTTTACATACATGGCCATATACTATACAATTTGTTTGTACAATTTTCCTTTAGAATTACCAAAACCATATAATATGGGGTCAAACATGCATCATACACAATTGGGGGAATCAGTGGTGGAGATGGATCTGGGGGTTCTGGTAGATCACAAGCTTAATAATGACATGCAATGCCAAGCTGCGGTTTGTAAAGCGAGCAAAATCCTCTCTTGTATTAAAAGAGGTATAGATTCCAGAGAGACAGATATCCTATTACCCCTGTACAAATTATTAGTAAGACCTCATCTGGAATATGCAGTTCAGTTTTGGGCACCAATTCACAAAAAGAACATTGGGGAACTGGAGAAAGTACAGAGAAGGGCAACCAAACTGATAAGAGGCATGGAGGAGATCAGCTATGAGGAAAGATTAGAGGAACTGAATTTATTCTCTCTTGAGAAGGGGAGATTAAGGGGGGATATGATCAACATGTATAAATACATCAGTGGTTCATATAGTGAACTCGGTGTAGAGTTATTCATCCTGAGGTCATCACAGAGGACAAGGGGGCACTCTTTACGTCTGGAGGAAAAGAAATTTAATCTCCAAACACGGAAAGGTTTCTTCACAGTGAGAGCTGTGAAAATGTGGAATAGACTCCCTCAAGAGTTGGTTCTGGCGAGCTCAGTGGATTGCTTTAAAAATGGCCTGGATTGTTTCTTAGATACACAGAATATAACTGGTTACTAACATTTATAAGTAAAGTTGATCCAGGGAATATCCAATTGCCTCTCAGGGGATCAGGAAGGATTTTTTTTCCCAGCAGGAGCAAATTGGATCATTCTTTACTGGAGTTTTTTTTTGCCTTCCTCTGGAACAACTGTGGGTATAGGATTATAACTTTTTTTTTTCTATGGTTGAACTGGATGAACTTTTGTCTTTTTTCAGCCAGACTAACTATGTAACTATGTAAACCTAAACACTTTCAATTTGTGTGAAATCAGGCAGGCCCTTTCCCTACATAGTTGAAGGAAAGTGAATTGAGAATTGTATAATATATGGCCAGCTTTTGCTTACTCCTTTCTCCAGCAGGCTTCCTGCATCCCCAGAAGCCTCTGCTCTGGG